ACAGTAGCAAGAGCAATAGGTAGGATGGTTTCACCTGGCTTAGGAGCAGAGAATCTCACCCCGTCTACTGCTCAAACAATGTGGGGTGGGTAAGCTCGGCTGTAATTGACACTTAGGGGGGTTCTAGAAAGGACAGGCATCTTCGTACACCCCCACTACTCAGCACTGTGGATACTGAAAGTATTCAGTACCTCTCTAAAGGAAAGGGTGAGTCCCGAATCAGTACGGGTGGTCCTCATCATTTATGATCAGATAGGTGGTCCTAGGGCTTGGTGGGGCTTTTAGGCTTTTTGGAGGCAAGGCTATACTCTTGGTGATTGGGAGGTGTTGATGGCAGGTGCTCTGGAGCTTGGAACAAGGCACTTTCTCTCTGGGTTAAGGAAGGGGTTAGGTGAGTTGATTCTAAAGGTCTAGTCTTCAATTCTAGGTTTTCCCTGGTTGTTACTGCTCTAACTGGATTAAGGAAGCTGATTTTGAAAATGAAGAACCTGCCAGGCAAAGTTGCACATGCCTGTAATCCCAGCACTTGGGAGGCAGGAGGATTGCTGTGAGTTCAAGGTTATCTTGAACTACAGAGTGAGACCCTGTCCTCCCCCGCAAAGAAAAAGAAAAAAAGAAAGAAAGAAAATGAAGAGACCTCTCAGTTTTTGCTTGTGTTGAATTGGCCCTGGCTAAACTCCCAGAGGGTTTCTAGATAGCCACTCAGGTGTCCTGTGCCCATGTGGACCTCTGTGAAGATCAATTCATACCAATCAAATCCAGTCTCCTACTACTGCCTCTGAGTGGAAACCTCTTTTATGTCTAAATGACCAAGTGACTCTGGGGATTGTATTAGTTTCCCATTGCTGTCATTACAAATTGTCACCAGCTTAATAGCTTATAACAACCAACATTTATTCTCTTACAATTCTGGAAGTCAGAAGTCCACAATCAGGCTTCAAGCCAAGGTATGAGCAGGATAATTTTTTCTGGAAGCTCAAGAGAAGACTCTGTTCTTTTGCATTTCTCACTTCTGGAGGCCGCCTACATTTCCTTGGCTCCCAGCCTGTTTTTCCACCTTCAAAGCCAGCAGCATCACACCTGTTCTCCCCTCTGCCTACGCCCCTCCATTCTCCCTTCTCCCCTCTAACCAAATACAATTCCTCTGCCTTCATCTTACAAGGACCTTTGTGATTACACAGGGCATACAGGGGTCCTTTCAAGATAATCTCCCATCTCAGGTGCCTCAATTTAATCATAGCTACAAAGTCCTTTGTATCATGTAAGGTAACCCTCGCAGGCTCCTTGGCTTAGAACATGGACATCCTTCATAGATCATTACTTAATTATCCAGACAATTTCAAAAGCTGGACTTAAGATGCCTGTGCTGGAATGGGGCGTCGTAATGGTACCCTAGGTGGGCAAATGTGTACCTGCTTGTATGGTTAGCTACACAACGGCAAAATCCATTCGTTCTCAGGATGTGTTTAGGTGCTCCTTTTTGAACCGCTCCAGGGTCTTTACCCTTCATAGAAATGTGTCCTCACCAAGAAGGCATCTCCAGCATCTCAGGTGGCCAGGTTCTGCTGAGTCAAGGCCGCTTGCTTCTCTCTCCTGCACTCCACAGTGTTGCTGAGCCCAAGGCTGTGTGCTGGGAAATGTGAGCATCCCCAGACATAGTCCCTTCTTTTGTGGAGCTTGATTTTTTGCACAGTTGGGAAAGGGTAACAACGACGTCATTTTTCTCTGGCTCTGAAACGTGTTTTGTACTTGTATTTGAGCGTGGGTGTGCCTGGTGTTCTGGGAACTCACTTCAAACAAAACAGGGAAATAGCTCATGAAGATGTACGGTATGGTCAGTGTGAGCTTCTAAAGTTCAGGTTACTTACTCTTGCAGTCTAAGACTTCGATTTTTAAAAATTAAGTGTATCTTTTCCCTATTGTCTAAGATTCAGGTTCAAGAGAGGTATTTAGTTCTGCAGATTTATGTGAAATCTGCTTCTTATTGTTGAATAAAGCTGGAAAATAGAAGAACTTGCTAGATGAGCAGGGCATGGTGGCAGATACCTGTAAATTCTGTAAACTCTGTAGGGCTCAGGCAGGAGAGTGGCAAGTTTGAGTCCAGCCTGGGCAGTTTAGTGATTTCATGTGACCTTGTCTCAGAATAAAAAAATAAAAAACATCTGAGGGTGTAGCTCAGTGAGAAAGGCCCGCGGTTCAATCGCAGTACCATGAAAGACCCCTCCACCCCCATGAAGAACCTTGTAGGCAAATGAGAGGTACACAAGAGAATATGGCTAGGGCTCTTCTTTCAAGCGGGTCTGAGTGGGTAAGCTTCTGTAACCCGGCCACCTTTTGAAAAGGACTTGTTTTCCAATGCCACCCTACAAATACCCAGATTGCTTGGCTTCACCACTCACAGGCAAAGGCAGCGAAGCTCCAGCAGGCGCTCCCTCCCTTTCTCCCTCTGCCCAGGGCATAAGTTTAGAAAATACAGCTGACTTCTCTGGGAAAAACAAAACCAACTTTGTCTACTCTGGTCATGGAAACCAAAGTGGCACCTCATTATCGCCTTGTTAGTGAGGACAGCCTGTGTGGTGAACAAACCTGGAGGAAGGGCTGGCCCTGTGTGGGCAGGGTTTGGAGTTAAGCTTCATTGCTCTGCTAAAGCTCGGCTACTTAATACAACACAAGTCAAAACCCATCATCGGACGCAGGCATCCTCCTCTCCCTCCTATACTCTCGTCCACCTAGACAGTTTTACTCCACGGTGCTGCTGCCATGATGAATGAGGGCACACTGATGTCCCCACAGTTTGGCTGCAGCCAGTACGACACACCTCCACCTACCTCCCCAGAGGAAGAAAGGTCCATAACTACCTTCAAAGCTGGACCTCTTCTTCCCCCATGTGTCAAAATGCAGTCGGTTTGCTCTGCCCAGGAGCTCCGCAGGGCTGCTAGCTGGGTATCTCTTTAACAACTTACAGCCAGTTTTTGATCTTTTTTTTTTTTTGCACAAATGGGAAAGAGTAACAAAGTCATTTTTTCTCTGGCTCTGAAACATGTTTTGTGCTTATATTTGAGCGTGGGTGTGCCTGGTGTTCTGGGAACTCACTTCAAACAAAACAGGGAAGCTGTCCAGGAGGATGTGCCACTCCGAGGGGGCTGGCGAGCTGCCTGCTGTGTCTCTTCTTTCCAAAGCCAGTACTAGGCAGCACTGGGTGTTCACTAAGTGGTCACGAAATCCCTTGGAGCTTCGGGTTCTTGCCCTGTTAAACAGATGAAAACGACCTACCTTATGGGCCTGCTGGTGAGATGCGGTGGCTCAGTAGCTCACAGTGACGGAGAGGGGAGAGGAGTCTCTCCCGAGCCCCTTTCTCTTCCAATACAAAGCCCAAATCTAAGGGCAGCTGTCTCCTGACCGTATCCTCAAAGTGGGACAGGCGTGACATGCATGTGTTCAAAGCGAGATAGATGAGACATTCCACGCTCTTTCCACAGGCGTGTTTCTCTCTTACCTGAATCTACACCCAGCCGCTCTCTTTTTGGCTTCATTATTGTACTTTCATTGCACAGTGTCTGGGACAGTGGAGACAAAGGTGTCCCTGCCCTGCATTCCTACCACCACCCCTTTTATAAGTGGGCTGCTTGTCCATGGCAATCCGGATTTCAAATTTCACGGTCCCATCCTTCCCATTCAAATGTCCTAGAGTTCCAGTTTATCAACATCTCACATCTACTTCTTGTTTACACCCCCTTCCCACCAGAGGAGTTCAAGACACAGAAAATATGGTCTTCCTTGAGAACCTCGACTGCGGTAACCACACGACCCAGGCTTTCTGGGAAGGTCTGTCCCACTTCTGGACGGTGATTCAGTCAGCAGACACTGTCACCACAGCTCACATGAGCGGCACTCGTCAGATAGGAGGATGGTCCTTCCCATGTCCCTGTTAGATCTGTGAGGGCTGACCACCGCTGGTTACTTTCTGAGCATCAGTGTCTTTCACTTGGAACTTTTGGGTTTATTCCTTATACTAGTCGTGTGTAAGAAGTGGTGATTTTAAAGTCTGCTTTTTTCAGTTAACACTGAAGCCTCTAGATTTTCTCATGTCATTAATGTAAATTGGGGGGATTTTTTTTTTCTCTGTAACTGGTAACTTTACCAAATTCAAGATAGTATTTAGCCAGGTACAGTGGCACATGCCTATAATTCTGGCACTTGGGAGGCTGAGGCAGGGGGATTGTGATGATAAGGCCAGCTGGGATTGTAAGGAAACAAACAAACAAAACCCACCAACACAACAGAAGATAGTGTTTACCGGTGGTTTGGCAGTGGTGGGAAAGGGGCGGGGTGGGTTGAGCAGCCACCATGGTGGGGGAACCATTGTCTATGTTAGGGTTGGTGCTGGGTACACAGTCCCAATGTCTTTAATGTTACATAATAAAGTGGAAATTTAAACGTGAATAGTGTATGACTATACCTGATGTTTCATTGTGTAGCTGTCATGATTTACTCAGATCAAGCCCCACTCCCCACTAATGGGTGTCTGTAATTTTCAACTTTGTACTCTTAAGTAAGCACTTGGTATGAAACAGCTTCAGGTATCAAGTTTTGTCTTAGGAGAGATTTATAGAGTTGAATTATTAGATCAAAGGACATGACTGCAGCAAATGCAGTGACAGGCCACCTCTCAAAGCTCTGAGTTCAGGGATCCCTCGCTTTGTGTCTCTACCATGTATGTTCTCTAACACTGACTGCAATTTTTATGTTTAATATCAGTTATTTTGTTAAGCAAATATTTGTTTCTAACTATTTTAATGTATGTTCCTAATTACTGAAGAGAGCGAATGTTCTACTCTCATTTTTCTAGTGCAGTTCTGGTTTGTTTTTTGGTATATGAGCCCACTTGTACGTGGGACCTACTCCTGTATGTGAAAGGAGGGACCAGAGATGAGCAAAAGCCACAGCTCTTTTTCCTGTTGAAAGCCAGCCATGCATCTCGACCTCTTGTCTTCCTGCAGTGCCGCCAAGCTCCTGGACAAGACCCCGTTCTCAGTGCGGAACCCGAACCCTCTGCTCCCTTCACCTGCCAGTCTCCAGCTGGCCCAACTGCAGGCCCAGCTCACCCTCCACCGGCTGAAGTTGGCGCAGACAGCTGTCACCAACAACACTGCAGCCGCCACCGTCCTGAACCAAGTCCTCTCCAAAGTGGCCATGTCCCAGCCTCTCTTCAACCAGCTGAGACATCCACCTGTGCTCAGCGCTCCCCCTGGACATGCTGCGGTGCCCCAGCATGCTGCGACCATCACCAGTGCCCAGTTCCCCTCAAATGCGATGGCCTTTTCACCCCCCAGCCAAACTCGAGGCCCAGGCCCCTCCGTGAGCCTCCCCAGCCAGCCTCCCAGCGCCATAGTAATGCATCCTTTCGGTGGGGTGATGGCCCAGACCCCAGCCCAACCAGCAGTCATCTTGGGCATTGGCAAGGCTGGGCCTGCTCCAGCTACCACGGGATTCTACGAGTATGGCAAAGCCAACGCCACCCAGGTATATGGCTCAGAAACAGATGGCCAACCTGGCTTCCTGCCAGCCTCAGCCTCTGCCTCGGGCAGCATGGCCTATGAAGGGCACTACAGCCACACAGGACAAGACAGTCAGGCTGCCTTTTCCAAAGACTTCTACGGACCCAGTGCGCCAGGGTCAAATGTGGCAGGAGGATTTCCAGCTGAGCAGGCAGGGAGCATGAAAAGCGAGATGGGGCCATTGCTGCAAGGCACAAACAGCCAGTGGGAAAGCCCGCCTGGATTCTCTGGCCAAAGCAAGGCTGATCTTACAACAGGTGCCAACCTGTGGCCTCCACCCCCCAGCCAACCCTATGAACTGTACGACCCGGAGGAGCCCACCGCGGACAGGACCTCCCCTTCCTTCGGGGCTCGGCTCAACCATAGCAAGCAGGGTTTTAGTGGCGCCCGGCGGCGGCCCAAGGAGGAGCAGGCCAGGCCGTCCATGCGGCCCCTGCAAGCTCATGAGCTGAACGATCTCCGTGGTGTCACACCTCTCCACCTGCCGCACATCTGCAGCATATGTGACAAGAAGGTGTTTGACTTGAAGGTGAGTCAGCTGGGACAGGATTGGAGCCTCCCCTAATGCCTGGCAATGGAGGAGGTTGGGACAGAACCCTGCCTCCAGCCCCCTTTTAAAAGCACAGATATTTGAAGCTGGAGGAGTTTCAGAAACGTGTTATGTCCAGTTCCTTGCTTTAAGCCAAGTAAGAGCTTCCTGCCCCAGTTACGGAGGAGAAAGCTGAGGCCGAGGGTCAGAGGGTGAAGTGACCCCACCTGTGCTGCAGAGCTGCAGAGGAGGGCTTCAGGGACCGGGCTCCTGCGTGCTCGTGAGGGCCTTTTCCTCTGTGATCGCTGCTAGTTCTCGAGAGTGCATGCGTTACAGAGTTTGAAAGGACGAAGAGTGGAATTTGGAATCAGGCAAGAGAGCAATTTCTGGGTGAGACCTAGACAGATTATCATAGAAGCCCTAGGCTGCTACATCTGTACTAAAGAGAGATTCACAATACTTTCCCAGGAGGAGTAAAGTACTCAGACAGCTGCAAACAAAAGCCCATTGTGGTCTAATTCTCCCAAATATGGACTCATGATGCAGTGACATATTCCAAAACAGTAATTGTAACAGCTGATATATTCACTGCTTTCTGTGTACCAGCAGCAGCTCTAGGAGGTGACTACTGTCTTCCTTTCATGGGTGAGAAAACTGAGGCTCAGAGTAGTGAAATTACTTGCCTTGAACTGAGATTCAGAGTAATGGTATTACTTGTCTTGGGCCTTTACCTAGGCAGTGCAGAGTGTCGATTCAAATACAGGACTCAGAGGTAGGGCAAGGCTCAATGACAGAGCTTGCCTGGCATTCATCAGGCCCGGGATTGATCCCTAACACTGGGGGCAGCGGTGGGAAGCAGAAACCAAAAAACCCAAAAGTGTGGGTCTGAGCCTACAGGTCTTCAGTGCTGGGCCAGCTCGCTTCCCATCTGTCATCCGGTGCCAGAGCATCCTAAAGGCCCTGCTTAATGGGAGACACACTTATAGTGGGCTGACATTCACCTCTGACCCCTCAGGAGAACACACCCTCACCTCCTCTCCTGGGGGCCCTCTGGCTGACTTTGAAGGGTAGTCCAGGATTTTGTCTCAAAGCTTTTCTGAGGCTTTGTAATTCCCACAAATGCTCCCAACTGGATTCACAAAGGTGTGCAGTGTCTATGCGGGACAGAAAGGGTAGGAAAGGCTCCACGGAGAGGAGCAGAGGGAATGATTTTAGCATCAGCGCTGTTATCCAAGATGCTGTGGGAAATGAGGGTGAGGAGGGGTGGAGCGAAGGCAGGATGGGGGGCAGGAGCAGGGGAGGAGGGAGAGGGCCTCTTGTCTGCGGGACGGGTCCAGCCGCGGGGCTCCCTGGGTCTCGGCCTCCCCGTGGACTCAGTCCCGCTTTGGTCATGTTTCCTTCCTTCTGCCCTAGGACTGGGAGCTGCACGTGAAAGGGAAGTTGCACGCTCAGAAATGCCTGGTCTTCTCTGAACAGTAAGTGCCGTCCGTCAAGGAGAGCAGGTCCGCGCATGCGCTCCACTAACATTCACTGAGTGCCTGGGGTTGTGCTCTGTGCTAGGTGCAGGGAACCCGACAGAGAACAAAACAAGCAAAGTCCCTGTCCCCCAGGAGCTTACACATAACATGGGGAGAAGGATCACATGCAGAAAGAGCGTGTAGTGTCGTTCCTGGTGGTAAATGTGAAGCAGGAGCAATGCCGGGGCACAGGTGGGAAGGGAGAGGGGGACAGAGAGACACAGACAGAGAGACAGAGAGAGAGAGCTCACACACAAGCTCTTGCATGCTTACACTGAGTATACCAGGCCCAAGTCCAGAGCCCTGGGTTGTTGGAAGACTTTCAGATTTGCTCTGAGTGTGATTTAGAGCTGCTGAAGGGCTGAGCAGAGGAGTAACAAGCTCAGTGGTGCTTACCAGGATCTCCGCTTTAGTGCTGCGCAGAGCTGCTGGGTGGCTGGAAGAGCAGTAAGGAAGTGGAGAAGAGATTATCTGGCCCAAGGGTACAGAACACATACCTGGGGCTCAAAGTTTTGAGACATGTGCATTGAAAATGTGTGCCTCCACTTATTATTCACAGTAGCCCAAAGGAAGAAGCAGCCAGCACACCCACAGACAGATAAATGAATAAACACACCATGGAATATTACTCAGCCTTGAAAAGGAGGGAAATTCTGATACATGCACTACAACATGCTTGAACCTCAAGACCATTTCATTAAATGCAATAAGATAATCACAGAAGGACAAGTGCTTTCCATGTTCCACTTATATGAGGTATTTAAAGAGGAGAAACAGAGAAACAAAGTGCAGAAAGTGCTTGTCAGGCTATGGGAGGCTGACTGGAGAGTCAGTGTTTAGAGAGACAGAGTTTTGGTTGTGCAAGCTGCAGAGCTGAGAAATGTGACCGTGCTCAGTGCCACTGAACTGCACACTTAAAACTGGATAAGGCTGTACAGTTTATGGTGTGCATATTTCTCCACAATTTAACTTTACCAGGCCTTCTCTGTTTGGCTCTCTTTTATTTTTCTTCATTGTACTAAAATTCACATGCAACTCAGCATTCTCAACACTTTGGAGTTCACAGTTCAGTGGGATTTAGCAATTCTCAAAGTTGGGCCCAGATGACCATCGTCCAGTGCCAGCTTCTTCCTGTCCCCGAGGAAGCCCCACCTGCTTGGTGTTCCTTCTCCTTCCCACTGTCCTCGGGCCCTGGAAGCCACCTTCTGCTTTCTGTCTCTCTGCGTTTGCCTCTGCTGAACATTTCCTAGGAATGGAACCGTGTATTATGAAGCCTTTGTGACTGGCTTTTAACACTTAGCGCAGTATTTTGAAGGCTCAGTCCCACTGTGGCACATGTGACCTTCACGTTCCAAGTGTGTGTGTGACACACTTTACCGATCCATCCTTTGTCTGCTGGGCATTTGGGTTATTCCTACCTCTGGCCATTGTGAATGGCCCTGCTATGAACAGTCATAGGCAAGTTTTTGCTTGAGTGTCTGTTTTTATCTCTTTGGGGTCATGCCTGGAACTGAATTTCTGAGGATGTGGTAATTTTTCATTTAAGTGATTGAAGAACTGGTCCCCTTTCTTGCTCCTCTCCAGTGCTGGCATCCGGTGTGTACTCACCTCGGCAGAGGGGACTCTGTGTGCCTCCCCCAACAACACAGCTGTTTATAACCCTGCTGGGAATGAAGGTAAGGTCAGGGGCTTGCAGCAGAAATCAGCTGCCCGCAGGCTCTTTCTGTCCTGTCTTTAAGAACCAGGGTGTCTGTGATATGCCCTTCCTAAAATGCAAAGCAAATGGATCCCAAGACATCAGCCCAAGCTGCCATCCTTGTTCTGGGTATGTTAGCCATGCAGCTTTGCTAAGAACAACATTCCCAGAGGCGGAGTCTCACCAGTCACCTTGACTGCATTTGTTAGAAGGAACTTCTGACCTCTTTCCCATGCATGTCCTAATCCTGATCTTTGTGGGTCCAGTTTAGTGTTGGGTTCTCATGTGGCTTGTGTCCTTTGTGATTCAGATTATGCCTCAAATCTTGGGACATCATTTGCAGCCATTCCAGCAAGGTCCTTTGCTCAGTCGAATCCTGCATTTCCTTCTGCCGCATCAGGGACAAATGTGAGTACAGAAGCGTGTTCCTCGTTGTCTTTATCATCCCCACAGCATCTGTATCACCGGCTCCGTCTCGGCCAGGATGAACCCGTGTAGATGTAATTTTGTGACAATCAGAAAAGTGGCCCCCGACAGGGGACAAGAGTTGTTTCATCTAGTCCAGATAACTCTGAAACACTGGGCTGAGAACCTGACATAAAGGATTAATATCAAAGGCGCTCACTGACTTCCTAGAATTCAGTGCTGGTTTAGAAAAGGAAAGTTTGAAGCTTTATTCCTTGAGCTGACTTTCTGATGTTTTATGGAAGTAGAGGGTGATCCTGAAGTCTGATCCAGAAAGTGAAAGCGTGTTTGACAGTGAGGCCGAGTCCTGATGGTGTCTACTGGCCCTGGGGACACAATAGGCTGGTGCCAATACTTTCTGTTTTCTGTTTTGTTCTTCTCTACAAACAGCAAAACGTAAAGCTTCATGTCTCCCTTTCCCACCAGTTGTGACAACTCCTTTGCCCTCTTTAGTTTCAAATGCTTTCCTGCTTTCCAGCCACATGGGGCCTGAGGAGAGCTGGGGAGAGATCATATGGCAAGGCTGCCTGAGAAGGGGACATAGGCCTGCGGTTGGCTGAACTCTGCTAGGGCGCGCCTGGGGAGTGTTTAGGGCTGGACCTGTGTGTTTTTGATTTGTGCTGTTGCAGCCGCAGCCCGCTCCTGTCTCCTGAGCATGCAGCACGCACTGCTCTTCAAAGCACGGCGCTGCCCCTGCACATATTGGGGGAGAAGCAAGCCATGAAGCATAGCTTCTAGGCCCAAGGGAGGGAAGGAGTGGAGAGGTCTGGGTCTAGGAGTCCATTTCTTGCCTGTTTACTTGTTACTGTTACTGCTACTTGAGCTGGAGAAGTGTGTGCAAGAGGGAGAGGGAGGTGGGGAGCGAGGGAGGGAGGGAAGGAAGGAGTGGGGGGCAGCTGCTAGAGGCCCAGGTCTTGAGGAGGAAAATGTTGCCTCACACAGAGCCATGCCCAGGCTGGTGGAACCTTTGGAGCATCCCAGCAGAGCCCAATGACTGGCCTTAGTGAGGCCTGTCCTTTGTCTTTGAAGGAAGACCTGTGGTTACATGACCTTGGCACTATGGGCCACAGAGACACCTCTGTACCCACACTCTTCTTGGGACCTCTACTCCGGGCCCTAAAGGGAGAGAATGGTGGCCGATATGGGGAAGACTGTCTGTGGCAGGTGGGCTGGGGTCCAGAGCATGTACCTTGACTCTGTCCTGGAGTCTGAGCACAGATCAGCTGCAAGCGCAGGACAGCTAGGGGCTCTGTCCTAGGCCTCATCCTCCCCCTCCATGGCAGGCCACAGAGCCAGAGGCCCTTTCCTGGGTATTTAGAGTCAGGAGACCTATGTTCAAGTCCTACTCTGAGCACCCCGCAGCTGTGTGGCTGAGGCAGCCACTTTTCTGAGGCTCTGCTCCTTCCATAAAGGCAGGAACACCCCGCTAGTGACTTGCAGAGGTAAAGCAGATGAGATTTCACCTGGTTTGTGTCATTTATGTTCTTGACTCTGCCTCAAGCCTTGGAAAATGAGATGTGGGCTTCGGCAGTTCTGATTCAGGGGCCAGCAGTAAAGGTTGGGCGCCAGGCTCAGTGTGGACCACAGACCAGTCTGCCCTTGTGCACATCAGGTACTCATTGGTGAACTGTCCCATACAAAGAAGTGACAGCAGCTGATGCTGAGCAACAAGTCTTCCCGAGCCCCTTTAGCTACAAAGGGTGGTGAGGATGCCATTGTGGCTGAGACCGAGTCTGTCTGCCAGCTCTGTGACTCTGGCTCAGTCTCAGCCTCAGGGGTCCCTTGCACCGATCCATCTTGCAGTACCTAGAGCCATATCTGCGGCCCTTTGATGTCTCAAGATTCTCCTGAAAGCACTTTGGATTATGTACACACCAGGCAAGCACACGCAGTTAGGTGATCCGTGTTAATGCTGAAGTGTGAGATTGATGTTAACACTCAAAAGCTCTGAGTACAACTGCGTCCTTCCTGCCTAGAGATGGGAAGTTTATAAAAAACATTGTTATGAACACTGCTGTCTGCCCAGAGAACTAGCAGAAGAGCCCAGATATCCTAGGATGTTAAGGACAGCAGGAGCTAACATTTCCATGGTGCCCAATGTGACCTTAGCATTTTGTATCATGTTAGTGCATTGACCCTCCAGACAACCCCCTGATGTGGACACCAGTGTTATCCTTAGTGTACACAGAAAACTGAGGCATAGAGGAACTTAGCACCTTGCCCAAGGTCACAGACTGGTGGATGGAGTGGGTTTGCCCCATGTCACCTGGCTCTGGAAGTTTCACTTTCCCCCCTGAGCCCTGCTGCCCCGCTCTGAGGACCTCAGGGCCTCTTCTTTGCTTCCATGCTCCTCCTTAGAAAGCCCCTCCGCCTCCCCTTCTCCCTCCCACAAGCTGCTTAGGAGGATCTGAGGCTACTGAGGGTGGGGAGGACCTCCCCAGCCTTGGCTAACGATGGAGCAAGCTGCAGAGTCTGTCCACATTCTTCCGCGTGGTGACACCATCCATCGAAGCAAACTCGGATGGTGGCAGTGTTTCCTACAGTCTCCGTGGAAGGAAGGGGAGAGACGGTTGGGCTGGGTTTATGAGTATTCCTGCTATGACACGCTGTTGGTTACCTGAGCCTTCTCCGGGGTACCTGGGGAACAGAGGCAAAGCCTGCCCCAGCCAGTTCCTGCGTTTCAAGTGACTTGATGTTCATTCACATCCAATTTGGGTGCCCTGCTGGTCATCTCTGGGTAATGGAACTGAAGACAGGTCTGATATATTGCTCTTTTGAAAAACCTGAAATGCAAGAATATCAACAGGTAAAGACAGGCTGAGAAATGCTTCACAGCTGCAAAACACTTTACAAGGCTTCTTTAGGGAGTGGCAGAGTCACTTAGAGATCATTGACATTTTGTTCTGCCTACCATAACTGACCTCTGAGGATAGCAGACACATCAAAGGGTGGACTGCCGACTACCCAAGGACACCTTGCCGAGTTCCACAGGGACCAACTGGCATCTTGTAAACAATATGCATTTCTCTTGCTTACACACTTTATGCTTATTGTGAAGACTTAAACAGAAAAGAAATTGTTAAAGAAGAGAGCAAAAATCCCCCTCGGGGATCCCATGAGGGCTTTGACGCCTTTTCCTCCGCAAGTGTGTCCCAGTCTTGCCAGGGCCTTTTCTGCCTGATTCCATTCAAGTGCATCTTTTCAGAAAAATTTTGTTGAGTAAAACCAGGCACACAGTGAAATCATGATCGTTTGTGGAGCGAAGAGTGGCCGCTGCTTCTGAGGCCTCCTATTTTTAAGCAGAAGAACAAAGTGACACGGGGCTCAGGGATTGAGACCGCAAAACACATCCCAACTCCCACAAACTCTGAGAGAACTTCGGGAACCATCTGCCACCTCCATCAAGCTCTTCTGGCAACAGGGGTGCTGGATTTAAACTTGCCTCCTCCCTGCCAGAGTGCAGCCTTTCCTCTCCCTGTGTGCATCTGAGAGACATGGAACCTGACAGCATGGCAGCTCACCCACCTCACCCAGGGTCCCCAGAAAGGGGTATCCCCTTTCCTCAACCCACTGCCATTTGATTGAGCTGAGGTCGCCTCTCCTGGGCCACCTTGGTTGTTATAAACATAGTAGTCAGGTTTCTGGAAGGGCCATGGGGCCTTCTCAGGCCAAAAATAGTCTTCTTGTAGCTGCCCGAGATGCATTTCACCCGTGTCTGGCACCGTAAAATGATCTTGTAGCTGTCACGGCCACTCCTTGGAGATCCTTCTGTGCTGGTGGCACAGATGACACTCTCTGGAGCATGGAGATATACATCACTTTCTCACCAGCACCCCACACTCTGGGGACTTGTGTAAATAAGGAAACCGAGGCTCAGGGACACATAAATGTTTGTGGGGGGTCAGAGCTCTGAGCTCAGATGCTGGCTATTTCTAGAACATCTATCTGTCTGACCTGGCCTTCTGAGGCCGTGGCCCAGAGCACCTCGGTCTCCAGACTGCACAGGTCGTACTTGGTATGCTCTGTGCTACTGTCCTCACCCCACCCCACCTCTCCAGCTCTGTCATAGCGTTGGTGCTATCAGCAGGGGTCCCTTGTGCATATTCAAAGAGAGGAAGACAGGAAAGCTGAATGGGTTTTTTTGGGGGGGTGTTAAAAAATTGGTTTTTTGTACAAGTAATACAAACATGATGTAAAAAAAAAACTTCTATTAAGAGATATATAAAAATAGAAAATTCTACTCTATAGAGAAAAGAACAAAACCACTAAAGGTAAACATCTATCCAACTAGTGTATGTGTAAATGCTTAATAAGCAAAAGCATATTTTTGCGAAAATCAGATGTCATATATTATACAGCTTGTTATTTTTTTACTTAATATGAGTTTTCAGTACATTTTAATTTGTCTCTAGACACCCTCCCACATCAGAATATAAAACTCTATTTTGTAACATCATTTATTACGTGTTTACCATAACTAATGAAGTCTGACTGATCCATTTTCATTGAGTTTTAATCACAAATCTGCCACCATTTAGTTTACTATAAGATCGAGCAGTTCCTTACCTTCTCCCAGGCTTCAGTGTCCTTACATACCATGGTGGGTGTGGACCAGACGACCTCAAGCTTTAACATTTTAGGACAAAACTTCACAGGAACAAACCACCCAACACCTACCAGCAATTCTGGCGGCAGTAAAGTGGAGTCACTTTAAGTCAAAGCTCTATAGAATATTTGCAAATGAGAGTAGAGACATCTTGTCTACCCTCCAAGTTAAATCAAGGGCCATAGGCATGGACTCCACCCCCATTTGCTATCTGCTTATTATGTGCAGAATCATCAGGATAAGGAGTCACCATCTGCCCTGCATCTGTCCAGAGGAGTGTGTAGCCCACAGACTGTGCTAGATGACATTGGGTCAAAGAGGTCAGGCTGGAGCATAG